CTTCAAATTTCTGTTGAAAACGAACTTCTCTATCCAAATCATTATTTAGATCTTTTATGCCAGTTACCTTATAGAGAAAACTTGAAATTAAGTCTGTATGATCAACTTTTCGAGCCACTATAATCTGTATAATATCATTCAATAACTATTTGCATTATAACATAGAACATATCGTTGCGCATGGACAGTTTTAAACAAAAAAAATGTATAATTAATTGATATATTCAAAGATCTCAAAAAAAAATTCAAATAGAATAAAAAGGATTTTGTCTATCTGATAAACACCAGAGAGTAAAACATTCTAGTCGTTTTTCTTCGTCTAATCGGTAAATATTGTTTACAAGTGACATAAAACACTCTTTTGTTTTTTCTTGGATGATTTAGTCAACATATTCTAGAAAATGAAAGATAAAGAATATCAAAGCAATACTATAATGATTGAGAGACATATTTCAAAGGAACCATCGTATAAGAATATAATGGATTAAAGAGAACTAATTCACTTCATTTTATGCCTGAGTTCTTTATATATATATATATAAAAGAAAAGGAAAACGAGACAATAATGATTTTTAGGAAGTTAAGCATTGACGTCAAAATTATAATGATAGGAGAGGCTGTTTTAAATATAAAAGTGAGAGAGTACAAAAAGAACTGAAAAAAAAAATTTCTTGTCATTTTTATTTAGTTGGGTGATTAATTTGAGTTAGATATTTGTTTGCAAAAAAAAAAAAAAAAATTTCCCGAGTTTGTAAGTATTTTATTTTTTAAAAGAGAGAATGATCATATAGATTTAAATATTGCACATATTGGACGATAAACTAGAATATAACTTAATTACTTTTTAGAAACTATATGATAATCTAATATTTTCTATTATAAGTTTGGATGAATGCAAAGTATCTCAGCATATTGATGAAAAAAATATGTTTTCTTCTTTTTGAAGCTATTTCATATTAAAGATAAAAATAATAAAGGATTTATAGATAAGATATGAGTTCTATTATATTAGTCTAGACTCTTTGCATTTCATGTCTTCGAGACTTAGTGAAAGTTGTATATAATATATGAAATAGCAGTCACGCTAAATCAGATTCTTTATTAGGCACTAACAATTACAGCGGCGTAATCATTCGTTTTGAAATACGCAGTAACAACAAAATATATTTCACTTTTCATCAAAGACAAATAACAGTTTATCTTTACTATGAACATAACAACAAGTGAATCAGAAAATCTTGTTGTATTCAAACGTGTAATCGAAGGTTATATTCTATCATCTGTGTGTATAATTGGTCTTATTGGTAATTCAATGACATGTTTATCAATATTATTAAATCGTATTCGCCGATCATCTCCAACAGATATTTATATATTCGGTCTATCATTTATATCCATATTTGTTCTTGCAGGATTTTTACTTACACATGGTATACGTTCAACATTTCATGAATATGGTGAAATAATTCATCGTTATTTATTTATTCGAGTTTTTCCAGCTCATGTTACATGTTTATTAATTCAAATATATTTAACAGCAGCAATATCAATTGATAGATTTTTATTAATATGTCGTTGGCGTACATTTTCATATCGAAAATGGCGAACACCAAAACGAATAATCAATATCATTATAAGTATAACATTATTTTCTATAATATATTGTTTACCATTTTGGTTTGAACATGTTTTAATTGATAATCAATATATTAGTTTAAGCTCGTTTGGATCTCAACCATTATTTCGTTTATTAATGAGACAATATCTTTATTTTATATTTGTTTTTCTTTTACCAATGTCATGTATTATAATATGTACATTATCAATTGTACATACATTATGTAATTTAACAAAAACTAAATACAAACAGCGTTTACATTGTTTTCATAGAAAAAAACATTCAAGAAAAATTCATACATTATTATTATTAATAATGATTATATTTTTAACAACACAATTACCATACTTTATATTTAATGTTATATATGCATTACAAGGACCAACATTAATGGAAAATATACGAGCAAGACAATATTTAGTTATTAATAATTTGCTTTCAACTATTAACGCATCAACGACATTTATTTTATATGCACTTTTTGGAACGAAAAATTCTAATAACTCCCAACATATTTAAAACTCAAACAATTAAATGTATATGTACCATTAAAGAAGAATGTTGTCGGTGTTTTTATTGTAAAAAATTTCAAATGTAACTTTTTGATTTAATAAAAATAAAATTTTTCAACAAGAAAAAAGTCATCTTCAGAAATGAGCATTTTAAGTAGTCAAAAGATGATAAAAATAAGTTATGGAAATAGAGGTGTAAGTCGATCAATTAAGCCGTCGCTAGCGTTCAAGCAATTGAACACCGTCGCCACTGTTGTCCAAAATACTTACTGAAGATTTCAGTCACTATAGCCATGACACAAAAATAGATATTTTATTTTTAAAAATTTTCGACTTTTCAGACCAGTTTTTTTAGATGTTAACGTCTGGTTTCTTGTCAATGAGTTTTTTTTATCATCGTTTACTCTATTTTTCATTTGAAAATTCATCGAGAAATTCCAACCATCGCAACCGATCAATACATCGGCTTACATCTCTACATGAAACTCTCTGAAAAAATTGTATTTTCATTAAAAAAGAGAATAAAATAACTCATTGGAAATTTTTTCTTATCATGGATTTAGTTTGCTTGCTAATGAATTAACAATTTCATTCGGTAGTAATGTGATGTCGCGAAATTTACATGTGCATATCTTTGGATTCTGAAGTTTTCCAGAGTTAATTTTAACATATCATTTACGTATGGAGTCGCTTTAGATACTCTGAAAAACTTAGTTCTATAATTCTTTGTTGAGATCAATTATCACTAAGAAGTAACGTTAGCGACATCAGTCAAAATGGGACATCTTTTTCACGATGTGCATTTCAACTTACAGAAAAAAAGTTGCTTTTTCTAATAGGCTTCGATTTCCCAAAAAGCTCGATTGTTTTTTGGTTAGCGATGTATCAGACTACAAATAAACAATCGAAAAAGTACCCTTGTAACTCAATGAGATATTTTAAAACCAAAGTTAAATGGTATAATAGTTTTCTTGAGAACCTTCTCGATGGTGGAAAAACAAATACTGACAAATTTACCATGGATGTGATTCATAACATAGCGTATATCCTTAAATTCTTTAATTTTCTCTCATTCCATTAGAAAATTGTTCACTAATTGCTTTTTAACTAATCAATTTTCACTGAATTTTACTTGAAAAAGTCAATATTTTACCTCTTTCATTGTAAAAGATGAATTTGCTTATAAAAACAATCAAAGTCAAATGAAAAATAGGTATGTCCTATTTTCCCGAAATCACTTTAAAAAAGAAAAGAAGATTTGTCTCTAAAACATATAACAAATAAATTCGAATTCTAAGAAAAAGAAATTTGTCTGCAGTGTATTTAATTCATTAACATTGTTTTATCTTGTTCAAAACTCATCATATTTTGAAGATGCTTTTTCGAACGATTTATAACATATGCTTAGATAGAATAAATAAAAATATATGTTTTAGACATAAGTTAATATTAATATCAACATCGAAAAACTGTTATTTTTATTGTTGCCTTGTTAATTAAAGCAATTATAAACTGAATTATTTTAATGATAAATCTTTATTAGTTAGACTGTGAATGCCGTTTTTTTTTTCTTTTCTCTGCTTTCAATTTATTATTATTTTTCACTATCTTCTCATTTAAAAAAGACAATGTATGTGAAGAATACATTACCAAAACGTCAATGTTAGTTTTCGTAACTTTCTTTTCCCTTGTTTTTTCAGTTTAGTGATAAATGTAACGTTTTGACTTAGATGAAATCTGCATCAAACAATAGTGACATGTGTATAATGAATAACAGATGAGTACTAAATTACATCAAATGTTTCCTTTTCTTTTTCTCTCTATTTTTTCTCTAATTAAGGGTAGCAAAAACTTTGAAAAATAAGTCATCATCCAATATTTTCGTCTTATTTCCCAACGGAGTATTAGAAAAGAAAGAGAACAAAAGCATACAATGTCATTTGATACTCATCTATTATTCACTATACACGTTTTGCTATTGTTTGATGAAGACATAATTAAATTCAAAACGTCGCACATGTCAATAAACTGCAAAGAAAAGACGAAAAAGACAATCGGAAGAGCATTACGAAAAGTCAACATTGACATTCAAATAGTTTTCCTGTAGTCAACTCAACATTGACAAAACAAAACAAAAAAAAAAGAAAAATTAAGTTTTATTTGATTAGAAACAGTTTTTATTGACAACTATCAACAAATTAAATCTATTCAGTAGAACTGTTTTGACGTAAAATGCTTTTGACAAAAACATTGACGACAACATGTTAGATTAATAATATAATTAGAGAATTATGATTTTTCTGTACATAGACAAAATTTTCGTTATAGCCAATCATGGTATTTTTTTTGCAAGCTATCAATCGCGATATGACAATATTCAGGCTAACTCATGTATTATAACGAAATATTCGTAGAAAAAAGTATACAATATTATTGTAAACACTTCTGTATACGTAATTTAATAATGATGCAATACGAAAGTGTATTAAACTTCACATTATTGAAATTCCACAGTCAATAATAGATTTATCAATCATATTCAAATGATTACTTATTATTTAATTTTAAAATACAGATTTCATTTTTTTTCTTATGAAGTGAAAAGAAAATGTTCTTTTATTTCTTTCTATTTCTGAACTTTTCATAATAAATTATTATTTATTAAACATTGCCGAAAATTTATTAAAGTTGTCGGTAATCAATCAAATTTCACAAGAAGTCACAACATGACGACATGAATAGACACTTCGCTTCTATTGAAAGTTATTCAGGTGCTTCAAGCAAGAAAAAAAAGTTGTAACAAAACGTACTTCCTTTTTCTACTTTCATATAAAAAACACAGCAATACTATTTCATTACACTTATAAATCATGGCACAACATAGTTCTATTCGTTACCAATCAAGTCAAAAGTCATCAGCAAATCATTCTACCGTTTATTATCCAAATCCATTAACAATTGAATTAAACAAAAGACTTGAAGATAATAATTCCTATGATACATGTACAAGAACATTATTACAATATTTTGCTGACATTATTTATAGAATTAATAATTCATTGGTAAATCGTAGTCGACAACGATCATCTCGAATATTAAAACGATCAGTAGAATAAATATTTATTTTACATGATATATTATTGAACAGATTCAATTGATTAATATTCATCGTTTATATTCTTTTTCATTTAATGCTAATATTAGTTCAATAAATAAATTAGCATTAAAAAAAATACAAGCATACACAAGTTATTTTTTAACGATACATGCAATTCAAATAACTTGTTTTTTTATAAAAAAAAAAATAAAGTCAATTTTTAACAGAAGAAAATAAATAAGATGCTAATAGATTAAATTAGTTCTTAAAAATATCCAGAATGCCTACGCCTATGTTTTTCTATAGGCATTAATGTTCGATGATGTGAAATCTTATGATAACTAGGTAATTGCATCATCATCAGTGTTTTTTGTAACGAATTCATTTGATGTCGATGTTTATCTTTTCTATGCATTGCATCATAGTTATGGCCAGGTACTACCAATCGACGTACAGTTGGTTTATGACCTGTACGTGGTATTATATCAGTAATAGCCCATATACCATCCAAATAATTAACTAGACGTTTTTCTAATAAATATTCGTATGGAATATAAAAGTAACCATGAACACCCTACAACAATAAAAAATCAACAAAAGTATGATGAATATTTGTTTTCTTTTTTTTTTAATAGAAAAAAGTTATTTGTTTTACCCAATCTCTTCCCCATGAATTTCGTACAATAAAATGCCTTGTCCGATCATCATAACCAACAACTAATACAGCATGTGTGCCAGTTTTAGCAACAGCAGCAGATGCAGGATTAGGCATTGATATATATCCTTGATTTTTTTTAGCTTCAGCTGTTGCTGAACTTAATAACCTAATTCCAATTAAAAACGGTACTTCATTAGCTAAACATGTTTTCATTGCAACTAAATTTCTTGGAATTTTAAGTGGAATTACAGTTACATGACTTGCAGCTTCGTAAACATGTGGTGGAGGTTCTTTATTAAGTAACTGTTCATCATATGGCCATAAGCTTTCTTCACATATACCAAATTTTCGCATGCCTAATACAGTATTTTGTTTTGAAGCACCATCATCAGTTACGTCAAGACTTCGCTGATCAATCATCTGACCATTATAATAAATAAATAAACGTGAAACATCAACATGTTCACCAGTATGACGTTTAATAATATATTCACAAGCACCAGCAAAAGCATTAGCTGCACTGAAATAGAAAAAACCAAAAAACAACTAATAATCTATAAGAGAACTATATTATTTTTATATTTACCAAGTTGACATATCAGCTTGGTCTTCAACAGGCGTCATATATTGACGAAGATCTACATGCGATGGTAAATGATTTGATGGAAATTGAAGTGGACGCATATGTCGAGCTCCACGATCACGATCGACTGTAACTGATTGATGCCACCATTGATGATTACCAGGCCACATCTTCTTTCAATGATAACGGTTACTTCAATATGTGTATATATGTAGATACATACAAGAAATATCTATTGTATACGCACACCTCTACAGGCAAGCAAATGGCCGTGCAAAAAAAAACAACAACAACAGAAAAATATCATTCAACTGTGACCATGTACAATATTTATTACTCAAGGTTGCACCGTTGATTTATCTGATATGCCTTATGATTTCAACGTAGGTAGATTGTTTCAACAAAAAAAAAATGAGTAACATATATTAGAGAAAATTTTTTGTCATGTACATTTTCTTTGACATATGATTAATAAAAACTGATGCGTCAAACAACAAGTTATGATTAAATTTATTAACAAAAAGTAACCTATTATAGATTAATTCATAGATTATCAAATTTAATTAAAGTATTTTTACTCATTCAAGAACAATCGAGTCATATGAAAAGAAAACCTTTATAGATATGTCATTTAACATTCTGTTAGTCAAGAATAAAAGCGAAATATTACTAAAATAATACGTTGATATATTTTATTTTGAGACGATCATTCGTCTGTAACGAACATGTGATATAAGTAAAGAAAAAAAAGATACTTGACATGCAATATAGCTACATCCATTGTCGTACAATGTCAAAGCAATTGTATGTAGAAATTTATGCATATTGGGCGCGATAATGATGTTACCTACTTATATTTGATTAATTTGATATTACCGATTTTTTGTTCAGATTGAAATTTCTATATTAAAGTTTAGACCAAACGAATATAATGTTGTGTTTGTTAATGTCTTTATGTACAGATACATAAATATTTGATAAATTCAAATATAAATGATAAATTGAACGACAATGATGCATTATTTGTGAGTTTTCATCAATATTTTTCTCTTTGAAGTGTATTCTTCTATAAGAATATTATGGAAATAAGATGGTAATTTACGTGTGTGTGGTAAAATTATTTTCAAATGATGTTCTGCCTTATGATGATATCAAATTTAATTACACAATTATTTGTCAAATGCTTTCAAAGTTAATGGATATTTAAAGAGAAAATTTTGATGATTTTATAATAGATCTCAATGATGAAATACATCTTTCTATACGGAATACAGTTTCTTATGAATTGATTGATTTACGACATTCATACATATATATATATATATCGAGTGTTCAGAAAGTCACTCATCAGAGAAAAACTTGAATATATCCTATGTACTTTGATCTATTGAGGTGATTTTTTTTATTGCTGATAGAAGAATGCTTATAGTTCATATTTATAGAACAAACGTAAACAAAATTACTCATTTAAATTTATTTGACTAATATTACACAATAATCATAATTTATTCAATTAATTATTCACACTATTGTCGTTTATGCATGAATTTATACTGAAGATTCATATCTTGTTAGTTAAGGTACTGTAATGATTTCAATAATAAACAGTGAGAAATAGGTTAAAAGATTGTAAATATAATGTACTGAAGCGAAAGTTTCGTGTAATACTTACTCATTAATTATATGTGATTTAGTTTGGTTTCTTGAACGATAATACGGCTTGTATAAGCTACCTGTTGTGATTTTACACATGACGATACATTAGACATCTAACCACTAGCTAAAAATTCAAAATAATAAATGATAAAAAAGAAAGTATTACTAAAATAAATTTCGCTTTAGTACATAAGATGTATTTACTATTTTCTTAAATTATTTCTGACTGTTTATCATTGAAACTATCATAATACATTGATAAATAAGATACACATCCACAATATAAACTCACGAATAAACAAAAATACTGTGGATATATGATTGAACAAATTAAGATTATTGTCAGTCAGTATGCTCTTCGCCAAAAATCACTTCACAAAAATTCAACTATTTGGGTTTGCATAAAATGACTATCTGCAATATCTGTTTTCGGCGATCTTTGTTTCAATGACGAAAACTATCAGCGATATTCTAAGATGATACCTATAATATATATACATGATAAACATTCAGAAACAGTAAACGTAAGGAATGATCGCCAAAACAAAACTCACGAACATTGATGATCGAAAAGCATTCGGTGATGAGGTATACAATCATCTATCCATAACATAGATGTTCTTGACAATAAATTCAATCGATTATCAAGAAACATCTAACTTTATATATATATGAGATGACGTGTTTTATCCATTAGTCAACCTCATTATATTAAATCTTGATACGCTGTTAATTTTATTTAAAACATATTAACACACACTATTAGTTTTATTTTATTTTTTCACTTGAATAAGATCAAGACACATATGCATACTTATAAGAAGAACAAAAACAAAACAGAAAGCCAGTGACGGATTTAGAGTGAAGGTGTTGGGGACGATTGCCTTCCTTTCAAAAGATTTTTTTTGGATATTTTCTAGAAGAAAAGGCTTTAAAATTAGCTGATATTACTTCTAACGAGTTTCAAAACAAGTTTTATGATCATAATCGTTCCCATCTCCTCCATCATAAAAATCCTAGATCCGTCACTGAAGAAAGTGCATGTATTATATAATATTTAAAAAAAATATCGAAAGAGATAACAAATCAATGCATATGAGAAATTTAAAAAAAGCTATGATAAATTAGCGAAATTTTTTTTTTTTTAAGAAGGAACAACAGATCAACAAAGATAGTAACATAAGCATTTGACTAGTTTTTATCAGCTCTGTTCATGTTGCTGGAATGATGAAAACAATGAAAAAAGAAATTTCCCTATTTGATTATCAATTTTCAGAATTCTTTATGTTTATCTAAAAAAAAAAACAATAATTATTAATCATTTTTAATCATTTTTAATAATTTCAAAAAAAAACTATTTAATACCTTCAGTTGATACTGTCGTCGTTTTAGTATCTTCTGGTTCAGAAGTTGATGATTTATCATCTTCTACTTTGTTCTCATTATTAGTCGGTACTTTCGCTGTTGTTGTTGTCTTTGGTTTCGGAACAAATCGTTGAGCTTTACTAAGTAAGTAATTTGTTTCACGTTTAAGTACATTAATTTTTTCATCGAAATCAGTTGATAAATATTTAGGTGTATCAGTTGGTGATAATTTTGAAAATTCGATTAATACTTGATCACGCCAAATCTTAAATTTTAGAAGATAAAGAAAAAACAAGTTGCATAAAATTTATTTTTCTTAATTGCTTACATATGTATCTTTAATAAGTTTATCTAAGTGTTTAATTTCTCCTTCGGTAAATGGTTTTTCATCATTATCAGTTTTTTCAAATATATTACGTGTTGCTTGAAGAAAATGCTCAGTTATATTGAGTGTATCTTTAAGTTCTTTAAGTTTTTTTGGACGTAAATCAACTTCACGTACACGTATTTTTAAAGATTTTGTTAAAGCTTTTAATTCATCTAATTTTGATTTTAATGTCTATTCAATAAATAAAACAAATAAAAAATATATATATAACTAAAGAATAGATAATAAGAATATTTATACTTTAACATCAGCATTAATACCATCATCCCATAACCATGTATCAGTTTCTGTTAATTTGTTATTTATTTTTGTTTGTTCATCTGTTGTTGATGCTTTTTTATATTTGGCATCATTTTCAAGTTTATCACGCATATCATAAATGAATGTTTCGAGATTATTTTTAGTAGTTGCTAAAGCTAACAATTCACGATCATGATCATCCAAATCAGATAATCTAAATAATATAATCAATACTGAGATCAAATTAATAATTTTATTATTCTCTCAAGAAAAAAAAAAGCAGTTTATAAATGAAATCTCTTTAGAACTAAAATGTGAAACTTGCATGTGTTCTTTCGTCTTATTATACAAATACAAAATACATCAAGTGAAAAGTCTCTAACAGACTATACTTTTTTCCTAAGGTTAATCGATCTCCAGGGAAACAATCTGTTTTATTCATTTCTGCATTCCTAGCAAAATGCTTTTCTTTTAGTGATGCTATAGATTTTGTTTGTTTTATTTCTATTCATTCCTTATTTTTCTTTTTCGTATTTTGTTTTTCTTAATCTAGCTAACATTAGTCATACTCTAATCATTGATTTAACTGATAAATAAGTCTGTTGTAAATATTAATTATGTATACAGCAGGTTGCAACGCTCAATTATATATCGCGATAAGCTCACAAATACTGAAATTGATTTTTTCTCCAAAGCTATAATGTCATCAATATAGATTGTTTATATTAATCATGTGATGACTGCAGCAAATCAATACATCACTACACATTATCCTTCATATATATCATATAGATTTTTATCTGCACAAGAATCAATAGCTATCCTGTTTAGAATATTTACAAATTTCTTTAAATTTTAACGAAAACTTGAGAATGCTAAAGAACGGTCTAAATATTGTCATTAATGTCTTTAGCATCTCTTTTCATTGCTATGCAACTCTAGGAAACGAGTCTGACGTCTGTTGTCTTCGGTTGCTGTATAAATGTATCCAATGGCTGTTAGTTAGTATATCTTCCGGTGTAGCTATGAGGAAGTGGAGAAGCCGCAAAACTCTAACCTAAAACTTACACTCACTATATTTCTTTTTCGAAAAAACATAATGTGAATTCCACAAAAAAGTCTCGCATAATTTTAGATAACACTTTTTTTTATTAATAAAATACAAACTATTCTCGAAGTCAAGTTTTCAGGGTTTTTTTTTACCTTAACTATTAGTTCTATCGATCAATCAACTTTTTTTTTCACAGACTATTTGTTTTATTAGATGAAATATTATAATCGATATGATTATTTCAGTTTGCAAAAAAAAATCAAAATAAGAGATTACTTTTTCATTGAATTAGCTTGTGCCTCTGATGATGGATCAGGATAATCAAGTGATTCAATTTGAAATTTTAATGGTTCACGAATAATACTCGGCTTGGGTGTTATTGGAGGTAATGCTGTTGTTGTTGGTGTATCATTCGTTGCATTATTTGATTCTAAATTTATCAAGAAAACAAAATAATGGAGCATTTGAATAATATTTAAATAATTTTACCATTATTATCAACAGGTTTTGTTGATGGCTCATCAGTAGTTGTTTTTGTATTATCCTTAAAAAACAGAGGAATAATTATTTTATAAATAATCCTTAGATTAAAAAAAACTTCTTACAGTTGGTATATTTTCATCTGTATTATTTGTTTCGTCATTAGAATCTTTTGATGAGAAAAAACTTGAAATTTTTCTGCCTATTTCTAATTACAAAAAAAAATGATAAAAGTATGAAAAACAATTTGTTTTTGTACATTTACTTGATAATGTTGATTTTTCTTCTTTAGGTTTATCATCATTTTTATCTGATTCATTTTCTTTTTTTTCAAAAGCAAATTCAATCTATGAAACAAATTTATTATTTATTTGTTAGAAAAAAAACCAATCAATACAAATAACTTATATGAAACATACCCGATCAAGAACAAGAAGACAATTTTCATCTAATTGAAAATGTGCTTTAATACCTTTGGATTCACTTGTATCTTTATGTTTATTATATGCTGTACGAACACCAGTAATATGTAGTCGTGATAATTCTGTTTGACCAAGTGCACTAAAATTAATATTAAAAAGAAAACGAATAATAAATTGTTTTATTTTAAAAAAATTATTTTTTTCACCGTTTATCAATTGGTGAAAGATATGTTAAATTTCCATAATAAATATCAAATGAAAAATCATCAATATGTTTAGTAAATGTTATTAATTTACGACTTGGATAAAGATTATTACGATCAAATAATGTTCGATCAAGCATTTTCTGTTCAGAATCTTCATTTTGTCGTTCAAATTTGACATTTATTGGATATTGATTTGCATCTTTAACAAGAAATTTTTTAACACGATAACCTTTTGAAAGTGTTGCAGCTTGATAAACTGCACCCATTGCAGCAGCTTCATCTGTATTTAAACTTTTACCAAGTTCTATTCTAAATAATTAAATAAATAAATATATACATAATTTTCGAAAGATAAGAATTCGAAACAAACCCGCCGAGAACTTTAGTTAATTCATTTTGAATACGTGGAATACGTGTTGTGCCACCAAATAAAAGCACTTGTTGGATTTCATCCTAAAAATAATATTGAATCGAGATGATTATGGAATATTATGTAAAGCCTTTAATAAAATACATTTTCGTAACAAATTAAAGTTCTGTTTAACATTTTTTGACTAACCAGGGAAGATATCTAAGTGTGATGCATTGTTTTAAATCGGATGTATACCAGCTTGTAGAACTCGATCAGCTGATTCCTATAGTATAAAACGTTCTTCTCCATGGGACCTTTAACGAGACAAAACCAATCAATTAAACTCATGGAGGATCACATTCGAGACACTGAAGTTTTATACACATTAATATGTGAGAGATGAAGCCTCATTATCGACCCTCTTACTTTTGATTGTACATTGTTACTTGATAAACCAAAAGTTGCTCGACGATATCGTAATCTGTATGTTACAATGTTGCTATCAGTACACATATGCATTATTTATGTATTATGCTATGAAAAAAGTCGATAATTCTGAGTAAATATTGGAGTTTGAACACTTCTTTATTGTTTATCTATGTCATTAATTCTATGCTTGATTTCTCGGAATAATACATGCGAAAGAACAAGCAGATCGATATTTGCATACTCACACTATAACAGTCGATAATGCTTAGACTACAAGTATATAAAATAATGCTCTCTCAGAATTCTTGATGACTGTCATAGCATAATTGTAACATACAGATAATGTATATAAAAGTTCAGTGTAAAGTGTCTCGAATGTGATCTCCCATGAGTATAATTGATTGGTTGTGTCTAGTTAAAGCTCACATGGAGAAGAATGTTTTATACCATAGTAATCAGCTCATCAAGTTCTACGAACTGATATACATCCAATTGAAAGTGTGGATCTTCACTTTAACGGCATCCATATCTAAACTCAAATCCACATTTACAGATCGGTAGTTCAGATCCACAATGATACTACTCATTTCTCTTCTTCTAAATAATTAACGAACAGCAAACCGTGCACACGGATGACTTCATGACAATAAGAATAACCGAAAGATTAAGTCAAGTATTTTACTTAATATTTTTTATTTATAGATATTAAAGTAATCATTTTCCAAAAAGAGTGACTTCAAAACTATTTTTAGAATTAGATAGTTTATTATATTGCGAAGATTTGTAATAAATATTCTATTGTTAGATTCCTTTCAGCCACTATAAAATAAAGGAAGGCAAGTTTTTGTCTATTGCATCTGTAAATCGTCTCATTTGATTGCAGAAGCTATTTCAAACCGTACAGTACGATGTTACATGTAAAACATGCTTTACTTATCTTTAAGAGCGAAAAGAGGAAGTACTTTTTCTTAATTTTTGTGAATTAAGTAATATTAATATGTTTTAGAAAAAATTCGAAATCAAACTCGAGATAGTCAACGAAAAACCAATAATACAATAGATGGTACTTGTATTTAAAATTCTATCTAAACTTTCGTTTAGTATAGATCTGGATAAGTTTCTCTTAATACACTATTTTATTTAGTTGGTAAGCATTTTCTTCCACAAATATTATACAATATTCTATTTCATTTGTCTAACACATGTTAGAAAGCTTCATGATTATCACCATCATGTACATGAGATATGTCACGTATCAAATAAATGATAGTTTTTAGTAAATATAACTGTTGGAGAGCATTTGAATCTAGTAAAAACTATGAAGTATAAAAAGTAATTAATATATCGCAATTTTCAATCAAGCTGACATTTTCATGGCGAAATCATTCCACAATAAATCGGACTAATAAATCATAATAAACTCGTCGATTTTCACCACGTGGGTACTTTCACAGACTGATTATTCTGATGTTTGTCACGTTAATATATATACTACTGTGAATATAATCTATTTGCAGAGTCATTTTTAAAAAGTTTCTGGAGTACAAATGTGACACCAACATTTTTCATGACAACTTGGATGATTTGTGCCTTATTCATAGTGAGTAGCATGACAAGTAGTTTTTCTAGAATTGTTTTATTTTCAATATAAACTAATAAATAACAAGATCTTCATATTAAAATTTTTATTAGAACTCATAGTCAGTCAAAAAGTGTTTCCTAATCGTTCTAAGATAATCTTTTATCGATAGAAACCTGTAGCTTTTTACTATAATCTTCCATTTAGGCGAGATTCTAACGATTGTAATGTATGATTTCTAATAGGAATCATAACTAATGATTCCATATAATAAAAAGAAAATTAAAACTACATAAAATGAAAGAACCACCTTCGTCATTGTCTGATTATAAACCATGTCCCAAAATTACTCATTTCTCATGAAATAATTCATGATACATAGATTTCCAGATTTATACAAAAAAGATAACAGTATAACTGCGAAAAAAACAAATTAACAATAAAATACAACTTTAATGTTATTCAAAATGAATGATTCATTTTTGATCCATTCTGCATCTCTACATTAAGATGATTTCACTCAAATTTAACCATATCAATATTCTAATCAGCACACACATAAGCTATTCCCATAGTTGACTCAGCATCAACTCTATTAGATTAGTACTATGGAGCTAAACAGTTAACATTCACCTATGAATGATATTCATCTTATATTGAAAGTTTTTCTCTAAGGAAATAGTTTTTAAAGAGTATTTTTTTAATTTAAGATTTTTTTTCAAAGATAAATTTTAATATTAAACTTGTTATTATTCTTACCAATCTAATTCCACTTGTACTAAGAACTTCTTCAACAGGTTTTTTAATACGTTCAAAAAGATCTGTACATAAATTTTCAAATTCATCACGTGTTAATTGATGTTTAAAATCAATTTCATCAATTAAACCTTCAACCTGTGCTGTATATTCCACATTAGCACTTAAAACATGTTTAGCTCTTTCAGCTTCACGAAATAATTTTGTTAAAGCTTTTGGATTTTGATATAAATCTATTTTTGGATGTTTGTCATGAAATTTTTTTACTAAATGATCACGTAAACGTATTTGAAATTCTAAACCACCTAAATCACGATCAAATGCAACTGATTTTATTGTTAATTGTGGTATTTCTTCAACATAACCATGTTCTTTTGTTTTAACTAAATTAAATGTTGCTATTGTACATATTGTTGATTGTGAACCCATATCATAAAATAAATAAGTTGAACCAGTTGAATTAAAATCTTTACGACGAAATATACCATAATTAAGTGCAACAGCTGTATTATCGTTCATTAATTGAAGTAATTTAATATTAGCTAATTCACATGCACGTTTAACAGCACGTCGTTCAGATTGTGTAAAATATGGTGGAACAGTTATAACGGCAGCATCAACTGCTTGTTCAGCGAAATCCGTTGCATATTCACGAGCTTTTTTTAATATCATTGCGAGAAGCTCTTCAATTGTATAATTTGTTTCACTGAAAATTTAAAATATTTTATTAGAAAGAAAATTAAAATTTATAAAAGAAAGTTGTTTTTAAATATTAGATCAATTCGATCTATGTAAGGACGACATTTGTACATGTAACTTGTTTTGTTTGAGAGTTATAAGACTTTTCTTAAGACTTCTGGTTTTCAGTCCATTGACCTATTATGATAAACCGGAAAAGTAGCTAGGCAAAAGTAATTGACCACGTTGAGTCGAATGGAGGTATTTACTTTTAGATTCAAACTTGTCTGATACTGTTATCTCAATAATTCTGAAATGCCGACTACTTCGTTACATGAAGTCTCATTGTGGAATTTCGGATATATTGAGAAAACAGTGTTAGGTCAGTTCGAACCAGAGAACAAATGTTATCAGTCGGCTCAACATGGTCAATTACTTCGACCTAGTTTTTTTTTTCGAGTGATTACAGATCAATTGGCTGAACTTGAATGTGTCAGAAAAAGTCTTATAACTCTTGAATGGAATAAGCTGGCAATGTCAACTTAGCGTAGAGCGAAAGAAAAACAGCTTCAGAATATCGTTTTTTGAAAATCTTTCATGAACAGTGAGCAGCACAGTTTCGTATGCCTCTATAAAAAAATTATTCAAAAAAAACAGTAGATCACATTATATTTGAAATAAATAGTAGATACTAGTTTATTGAAAACGACAGCTTTTTAATATTTCTTTTCATTATTTAAATTCTTTAGTGATTAGCTAGAAGTGTTAATATTGTTGTTACGAAGATGAATTGATCATATATCAAGTTCTTTAATTCTGTATTCCAAGGAAAAAAGAGAAAAGGAAACGTGAGATATTGTCGATTTCTTAACATCTAAATAGTTCTATGCGTTTCATAGTCTACATTTCTTACCATCTAATTAGTTACAATTAATTAATTCAAAGTATTAATTACAAAGATAAGAAACTTGTGTTTGATTTTCCTAAAAGCTAGAGGATACATCTCATATTTGTGTTATTAATTCGCCTTGGTAATATAAGCTAATTATAGTGCTTAGAATTCTTTCATATATATAAAACCCAAAGACACGAGTACTAGAATACTCCATATTTTTTTGAATATCCTGTTGTCAAAAACAGTGAATACAGGTAAGAATCTTTGTTAAGTTGAATTTAGCTATGCACAAAATCCTACACAGAAAATCTCCGTCAAATATTTGAAAATGTATTCAATAAGAGAACTTTCAGGTTCGATACTACTATCACTACTACTATCATCAAACGTCCGCGCCAGAATTAAAGAGGGTTGCATGTAAACTCAATAAATCGACAGTGGCAACAGATAGTTATCTACGGTTTACAGCAATCAAAAGAGAAGAAATCCGAGCGTCTTTTTGTCTGATACTACATAAGACGAACTTATTTAAAAACTCATCACTTTCGCAAAATATTCAAAGAAGAATTCATGAAGACGGTGTTTCGCTTCGATGTAATTTTGATATTGATATGTGCTTTAAAGAGAAAAACTTCAGATCTATAGTTCAAGGCACAATCCAACTGATTATATTCTCATATCTAAATGTTGAGCAAACAAAAGTACGAATGTGTTCAGTCAAATTCTCTAAATTTCTTTTGATTTTTAGTAAATTTTCTGACTTTTTTTTTCGTATCGAAAATTTCCTAGTAATGAAACACAGTTTTCGTGTATGGTTTTGAATTGTCTGTGAAGCTGATGAATTTTAAAACAATCTTGTCTTATCTCATATTAGATAAAAAGTACGTTTGAACTTTTCTTCTTTTTATTGTTGAAGTCCTTTTTTTTATTTTGATACATTCAAATTCAAGTCTCTCCGTCGTTGATAAATATGTTTCTTTTTACCTGTCATGTTCAAAAACTAGTTGACCTGTATGTCCATCTGTTTTTAATTTATAATATGGAAATCGTTTTAAGTATTGTTCAATTATTGGATTATTCAATGATTTTCCAACTAATTCACGTAAATACATATAAGATTGTGCTGGAATTTTATTTGACTAAATAATAAATAGAATTTTATGGTGCAAAAAAGAAAGAATTTTTCGAAGCAATTCTTACTCGAGATACAGCAGCTTCACCAAATTCACGATCTTTACTTTTAATAGCAATAATAACTGGTGTTTTTCGACGGCTTTCTCTATTTAAATAATTACAAATAAAGAAAATAATAATAAAATAATGAACATACTCATGAAAACTCACTTATTTAAAACAATTTCCATAGGTACACCTGGTTTAACAATAGCAATTTTCATAAATTCTGTACCAAGATCGACTGACATTACAGCAAGGCTATCAACTGTGAATACAATCGATGCGGTATAAACAAGAAAAGCAAGAAAAATTGTTTTTAAATGCATCGTAATTATAATCTAGAAAAAATAAGAAAGCATACGTCTTAAATATCTCACTGGAGATTTGTTTTGTATTTTATTATCTTGATACAAAAAGTCACTAAAAACAAAATCTTCAAACTTAAATAATCTTTTGTTCGTTTTCGTAACAGTCGTAACGAAAGAATACTCCAGTTTGTCAATTACCGTGTAGTATAAGATGCTGCCTAGCTGCAGATTCAATAGTCCAATATCTTCGCTATAACTAATACTAACTGTAGCTCTGGACAGAAGGCCGACCTGACGCAAAGTTCTTACGTTCCTCATACACACTAACTAACCACGAGAGCAAATGTATACCTACAACATAGTTGGCATCATATTCGACAAGTGATCTGAGACAAACAGCCCTTAAATGATTTGTTTAGGATCATTCCACGGCTGATGGTACTGAATTTTTCACGCAGTACCTTGTAGATAAGCGTCGAATAGAGCAGTCACTCAGCTATGATGGTTAGCACATTTATAACGATCATGTTAGTAAATCGTATTTAGATCATCACCATCAATTGATGGATTAACAGTAATATTTTATATATATTCAATATCATCATTTTGAGTATCAATATCAATCACGTCCAACATTTGATTTGATGTTATTGATCATTGATATTGAGTATATGATAATAAAGTCCTTAAAAAGAAGACGTTATTATAAATATACATAGTATTTTTCTGAAGTATTTTATTACATGTTTTCTGTGCTATAATTGATGGTGTAGGAAAATGATTATGGCATAAGTTTTTCTTTATTTCGTTGAATGTCTGTGAAATGAATTCATTTATATTCAGATTGATATATATCATTTAAAATTCTTGATAATAATATATACATGATGTTTATTTTTCTCAGCTATTAAAATTGTTCATCAATCCACACAACAGAAGTATGTGCTGATGATTGAGATGAAAGATAAGAATATTGTAGAGGAAATGATTGCTAAAACTCATAAGAATAATAATGAAAACTAGTAATTCTACGTTATTTTTATTGTTGCCGACGAGTGGTGTTTAATTCACCGTTACTTTGATTTCTACCGCTATGAAATTGAGGTTTCATACCAATACTTCCGTATCGTAATGTTGAAGGAGAAAGTTATTTTTAATAAAGATGCAGATGGTACATATGTAACATTAATCGAGTTGAAATAAATACTCCGACGTTGTGCTCGCTGTTGATTGAGAGAATATAATTTTTTCTTAGAAAAATAAAACCTTTTATAGAGTAGATTCAATTAATTAAATGGGCAGAAAAAAGGGAATGACGACGGTACGATATAAACTCGGCAAGATACAGTTGGCTGATTTGCTTCATTCAGTAATAAGAAATAGTTAACAAATTAGATGTTAAAAAATAACCTCCAATAAACCAACAGCAGATAGATGGAGTAAGTTAATACTGTTGATATTTGATTTTTTTTAGATAATTGAAATTTAGCCTATCGCAAAAAATAAATATGTTACTTTTTTAAAGATTTTTTATAACAAAACAGATAAAAATAATATGTTTTATGTTCATTTATGTGATTGAATATGATCTACAAACCCAATTTCAATAAAATATTTCATAATTCCTATAAAATTTATTTGATTGAAGTTCTGAATTTATCCTTTTTTTCTTAGTTGATTTTGTTTTTGTTTCGCACTGTTTCGATAGAGTGATTATAATTTTAGATGTATTGATTGAATATTTTAATAAATTTTTCTTTCTAGAACCAAATAACAATGAATGTTTTTCTTAGAAGACTATTATGATTTACATCAATAAAAGAAGATCTTATTCTATCATGTAATCCCTTATTTGTCATATTATTTTAGTATTCATATAATATAAATTTAATAGAATAGTATTAAAAATAATAAAGATAAGTGCATTTTAAGTACATGTTGCAGAGGAAATTAAAATTCAAGAAGTTAGAATTTTAGATTTCTCCTTCAAAATAGCAAGTAATCGAAAAGTAATTAGAGAAAGTGTTTATTTACGTTAAAGCTTGTTAAAAGAACATACAGAAATTATAAAAGATTGGGCTAAAATCAGAATTTTGTTGTCTTTCCAAATATATGTGCAAAATTTTTGGATAACATCTGCTTTAGAAATGATGATCCGACATTTTATACAGGCCCGTAAATTAATCTTCAGGTAGCATCCACACATAAAAAAAGATTGGTGAACGATGAGCGCAGAAACTTAAGTACGGGTAGTTAAATACGGAAACGATAAGCACGAGAATCATCAGCCCGAGGAAAGTTCAGCACGAAAACGTTCAGAACTAAAAACTTAAGCACGCATACACAAATATTAAGGCAAATATAATATGAATCGAAAGATCAGTAGAGCTATACGGATGTGGGTGGGTGCATATGTAGATGTGTCTACGTGTGGATGTTAGTTCTCTCTGGGCATGCATCAAGACTCAATAGTAGAATATTAATATTTCAAATTTAATTTCTGGATATGAACTACATCAATAAACTATCGTACCACGTGTATAGCAAGATGTTTGCTTTTGACAATCCAATAAAGAATGAGCCGATGGACAGTTTTGATTTAGTTAGAGATTGCAAGGATATTGAAAAGCAATCCAAAGTCAAACTTACTGAGTTTGAGTTTTTCATTGATGTTAGTATGTAGTCTAACAACATTTCCGAAATCCTCATTTTTCACATTCTCTAGTATCATTCCCCTACTTCAATTTTCTACCGATGGAAAACTGTTCTGTCACATGGTTCAGTAGATAAGGCTATTTTTCTTCATTTATACAAAAACGATTCAAACGTTTTGGATGCAGGTCTAGTCTTCTTATCCTTTCCATTTACACTCACAAACCTTGCCTTCATTTTGTTTCGTGTGTGCTGAACTTCCCCGTGTTTATTATTTTCGTGCTGATCGTTTCCGTGATGAAGTTTCTGTGCCAACTGTTTCAGTTCCCATAAAAAATTACCTAACGAGGGGACATTCCCAAGTGATCCGCTCCGTTTTGATTCATTCACATCTCATTCGAAATAGTATATTGAGATAAGAAAAAGTCTAAAAGAATTCGTGCCCATGGTCTGCTGATGAAGACTTATGACCGTTTTACTGAAATTTTTACTGTGAGCCAGGCATTTCGGGAAAAACCAAAATGAAGAATTTCGACCTGAAATTTTACCTATAGATAGATTTAATAGTCATTAGATAGTCCAGAAAGTTTCAACGAAAACGAACATGTCTTTCTCAAGTTATTCAATTTTCAAAAAAACCAGCTGTANAGTATATTGAGATAAGAAAAAGTCTAAAAGGATTCGTGCCCATGGTCTGCTGGTGAAGACTTATGACCGTTTTACTGAAATTTTTACTGTGAGCCAGACATTTCGGGAAAAACCAAAAGGAAGAATTTCGACCTGAAATTTTAACTATAGATAGATTTAATAGTCATTAGATAGTCCTGAAAGTTTCAACGAAAACGAACATGTCTTTCTCAAGTTATTCAATTTTCAAAAAAACCAGCTGTTTACCATAGGAGGGCACAATAATCCAGTTTAGTTGGACATTGAATATCTCGAGAAAGACATGTTCGTTTTCGTTGAAACTTTCAGGACTATCTAATGACTATTAAATCTATCTATAGGTAAAAGTTCAGGTCGAAATTCTTCATTTTGGTTTTTCCCGAAATGCCTGGCTCACAGTAAAAATGTCAGTAAAATGACTATAGATCTTCACCGGTAGACCATGGGCACGAATCCTTTTAAGCTTTTTCTTATTTCAATACACTCTATCGAATGAGGTATGAACGAATCAAAAGAGAGCGGATTACTTGGGAATGTTCCCTCGTAAGATAGAAACGAGAATGGTTTCAAATACATCGAACGAAAGAATAAGCATTTCTCCATAAAATTATGCACTAATGATTAGTTTGATGCAAGTTATTTGTCAGCAGTGAGTATTTCACATAAGCAATAATGGGCCAATTGAGACAATTTTATTGATTTCTATAGAAAACAAGCTTGAGAAATGAACTCGATCATTCCTGAAACTCATGATTTTTGTGTCATTTATCGAGAACAATTTCATTATTAATTGTATGCTAAAAAATCGATAATATAACATATGCCGTAAAGAAAGCTATTGGTGAATTTTTCTCTGTTGAAACTTGACTTTCGAACTTCTAAAATTTCGCCTGATAATTCCTTAACTAGAAGTTCTGGAGAAATGTTGAATCTATATTTCCAAACTATACAAAATTTGAATCCTAATACAATGTTTTCAAGTTTCTATAGACTTTTTTTAAAGAGGTGTCTAATTTTCTTTCGATCACACGTTAGATTCTCTAAAAAATACAAAACAATTTTACAGAATTATTTGATCTTTCCTTATTAGTTACTCAGTACATGAAGACTCTGTTTTTATGTTTATATGCAAGTATGAATACCAATGTTGCATAGTGTTAAGAACTCGTAGCATTTTTTTTTCCATATATTAGTTTTTCTGACTCTGCATAATCATGCATATATATAGAACAATCGTTCTAAATTGCTCTTAAGTCATGCTTATTGTCAGAAATATTTGCATGTCTCGTGAATTTGTTTTGTCTATCTGATATTGATTATGTATATAATGAAATATGACAAGAAATAATATCTAGCATAGTTTATCAGATGTTTTCTTTGTTACTTTTCTCTCTTTATCATCAGGAGAAAATTCTTTTGTAAGACCACTAGAAAAAATAGATTTATCTGTCTTATTTTTATTTTATAACATCAACAATTGTCTTTTTTATTAATTTTTTAGTGTTTTATTAATAACATATGCATTATTATAGAGAAAAGCATGATGATTGTATCCTTTCAATCTAATTCCTATACATAGTGTTTTCTCTCATCATCTCAGTCCGTTTCTATTTTTTTTCCCTTCTTCGTCTCACTTATTTCGCTGTTCTTGAAGTCTCTGCTTTATTTGACATATCTTCGTTTCATCAAATAATCCTTGA